AAGCTGAGTGTGTAGGTGAGAGTTAGGTGGCAGAGCAAATGCAGAGCCTCAGTGTTTCTTTGACTGTGAAGGGGCTGCCAAGGGAAGGTGAAGGCTGCCAACACCTTTCTGTCCTGGCTACTTCTGTTCAGAGCCTTAGGTGGTGGGTGTCTGTTTTGAAGCTGGGCTCTAGGCAAGGCTGAGGGTGTAGGTAAAGGTTAGATGGTAGAGCAACCACAGAGCCTCTGGGTTAGTGGGGCAGTGACAGGGCTGCCAAGGGAAGGATAAGTGCTGCCAAAAGCTTTCAGTCCTGGCCATTTCTGTGTGGGAGTCCTAGCTGGCAGGTGTCCATTTTGAAGCTGAGCTCTGCCTAGGTTTATGGTTGTGGTGTGGGTTAGGATTAAGTGCTAGAGCGAGCACAGAGCTGCAGTGTTGGTGAGGCTGCAAACAAACTGCCAAGGAAAGCTGAGAGCTGCCAAAAGATTTCATTCTAGGCCGCCGCTGTAGCCCACCCTGCCCAACTCTACCCTAAACCATGTCCAAAACAGAGCCTTGCCAGCAATGACTCCCAAGAAAAAGTCCCCAGGAATGAAAGTATTTGACAGCCCTCAACCATTGGCGCAACCTCTTTAAATCATCTGAAATATTGAGGGTCTATTATTTGTCCTTCACCTAACCCTAACATTAATTCTTCTCCTGATACTTACCCTTGCCAGAACACAGGTAAAACATGCAGTTTTGACAGCTGTGGCTCCCAGGCAGAACTGAGGATTTTTCAGTCCATCACATTCCCATGGCCTTCCTCTAGCAGCTGCAAGACACTTGGGACCTGCATCATCTCAAGCATCAGAACCATCACATACCCCTCACCCTAGCCAAAGCCCAGGTCCAAAACAGACACTTGCCAGCTAGGGTTCCCGCACGTAAATGTCCAGGACCGAAAGCTTTTGACAGCCCTCACCTTCCCCTGGCCGCTCTATCCCAGCCCCACAACCAGAGCTCAGGTTCCAAACACACTTGCTGTTATGGATCCGACACAGAAGTGGCCATGACTCAAAGATGTTAGCAGCACTCACCTTCCTTTGGCAGCCTCTTCATAACCCCACAAACATTGTGGTGCTGTGCTTGCTCTGCCACTTAATCCCCACCTACCCCCTCACCCTCATTAGAGCCCTGCTTCAGAACAGACAACCACCACCTAGGGCTCCCACACAGGAGTAGCCAGGACTGAAAGCTATTGCTGGCTTTCACTTTCCCTTGGCAGCCCCTTCACACCATCACCTACACCATGATCACAATCCTAGGCGGTGTTATCCAGCAATGAAGGGGTTAAAACTTTTGTAAGAATTTCATGAAGGGTTTAGTAGGCAGTTTGCACATAACAAGATGAGCATCCTTGAAGCTGCTGGGAGTGATGAGGAGGGAGATCTTTATCAAGAACTGTCTGCCCTTGAAGGGAACATCCCAGAAACTGTAGAAACTTTGTTATAATGCTTTTCTGAACTGTGACCATGTGCAGCAGTGACTCGGGGAACAGGTAATTCCAGCAGCGGGAGATTGTGACCACCGACTCATGGAGCACCCACCCTAAACATACCCCAGACCCAAAAGAAAGGGGTGGAGGAAGAGGACTGAGCATGCAAAGTAATTTACCTGTAAAGCAAGAGAAAATTAACTAGTTGTTTAAGAGAATGACAATGAATATGTGAACACGTTATGAATATGCACGATCACAGTGTATAACTAAGTTTCTGTCCAGAAGCCAGGCGTGCTTGCCAGGAGGAGATATCTCCCGTGCACCTGGTGCCGCAATAAAGTAATGCTGCTTTCTAACACTGCAAACTGTGTTTGAGAGTTTCTGTCCGGATTTTTGGTGACAGCAGAGTACAGGACCATCACAAAATCACCAGTGACAGCTCCCTAGAAAAAGTGGACATGTCTGAAAGCCTTGGCAGCCCTCACCTTCCTTTAGCAGCTCCTTCGCAGCCACAAAAATACTGGGAGTCTACTTTCTTTCTTGCATCTATGGCTAATTCTCACCCTCACCCTAACCCTTAACAGACTCCAGCTCCAACAGGGAAGCTGCCAGCTATGGCTCCCATGAAAAAATGCCTTAGACTGGAAGCTTTTGACTACCCCCATGCTCCCTTGGCTGTTCCTTCACAGCCCCACAAACACTGGGGCTCTGCTCTTTGTCCCCACAAATGGCTAAGCCTTACCCTTGCACTTACCCTAATCGGAACCCAGGTATAATGGGATACCCGATGCTTTACGGCTCTTAGGCAAAAGCGGCCAGGACTCAAAGCTTTTAGCAGCCCTCACCTTACCTTGGCGACTTTTTCACAACGTCCTTACACTGGTCCTCTGCTCTTTTTCTTGCATCTAATCCTAACTCTATTCCTGACCCTCACCCTACCCTAAGCCCATGTCCAAAACAGAGCCTTGCCAGCAATGGCTCCCAGGAAAAAGTGGCCAGGACTCCTTTGCAGCCCCACAAACAATGGGGCTCTGCTCTTTGTCCTGCATCTATGTCTAAACCTCACCCTAAACCTGGCCAGACCCCAGGTCCAACAGGGACACGGCCAGCTACAGCTCCTAAGAAAAAATGCCAGGATTGAAAACTTTTAGCAGCCCTCACCTTCCCTTGCAGCCCTTTCACATGTCCCCTAGCAGTAAGGCTACACACTTTGTCTTGCACCGAATCCTAACCCTTTTCCTGACCCTATGCCCATATCCAAAACGGAGCCTTATCAGCAACAGCTGTCTGTCCTGCACCAGGTCTTAGCCATTCCAATCTTCATAGTTCTCAATATACTCAAAAAGGGAGGCATGTATTTAAGCATTTCTCACGGAAGAAGGACTCCAACATGATTTTTAATAGGGTCAGAAACTCTATGACAGAAAAATAATTTAGAAATCTGACATACCAAAAGTATGCATCTGCAACAAATAGTAAAATGAAAAATTATTCAATAATCCCTCCACAACCTCCCCGACTTTCCAGATTTTCTTTGTATAGTTTGTTGCCTGAAACTCAGCTCGATGCTATTTCCTCATAATCATCATTAAAATATTTGAATAAAATAGTAAATTTTTTAAATTCCACAACAGAAATCAGGAGGAAGATGGGATTTTCTTCCACAGTTTCTGTTTTGAATTTTATATGCTTCAATACTGCAGTCAGAGATTAGGTAAAACACATGGGGGACAGAAAGGATAGAAAAATAAAAGTTTGCTACTGACTTCTCATTTAATATGAAGAAGTGACTAGAAAGAAAAAGAGATGACATATATATATATACACACACACAAATATGCAAAGATGGAACTGATATTTCTGTAGAGATTTCAAAGGTTCAAAATAAAGGAGGAAATGAAGCCACAACACATGGCAGTACAAAAATTTCAAAAACATACTTAATTACAATTCTAATTCCATAACTTATGAGGAAGTATGATTTATTTTCAATCATCACACTGCAAGTTCCTTCTTCAATGCAGGTAAAAATTATTTATTTCTGGGCCTTTTAGGCAAATGTGTTTGCACACTCTTAAGGTCTAACATTCTTCCTGATGATTTCAAGGTTAAAAATGACATCTGCAATTCTAATGTGAGCTGGAAAATGAGGAATTTATTTTCCAGGAGTTTTGACAGATATTCTGAAAAGATGGGAGAAGTATAGTATGGCTTAAGCAATCATAGCTTATAATTTTTGCTAACCAAATAAACAGCCAATGCTGCAGTTTCACAAATTCATAAATTCATAAATAAAGCATTCAATTTGAATTACCTTGTGACAAATTTTAAAGTCCATTAATTTAACTCTAGTTCAAACAAATATCTTCTTCAGAATTTACTGTAGCTAAAATTAAATTGGTTTAATTAAAATAGTACAACTTTTAATTGTTAGCGCTTTCATTGTATTTTATAACTGACCACATAACTGGACAATGATAAGACAACAGGTCTGAATCTGCTTGCATGAATCCACAAAAGGTGCACTGGTAATGAAATGAATAGAACAGATCTCCAGTTAAAAAGCTATGTTTACACTTGCATGTGTTGTGTTTATATGCTATACCTCAAAACGGCCTTTTTCACTGCTTTTGAAAGAGATGCAAATTTTAAGGTAGGTATTTTGCCTTTCTAATGTAGGACATTAGGGGTTTAGATGCTTTTCTTTATAAGACTTTGAAGGTTTTTCACAACAGTAGATGAACATATCCTCAAAATCTAAATGAGAAGCTTTCCTAAAGCTAACGTTATAAAGAGCGAGCAATGTTCACAAATTATGCTGCGATATGTGAGTTATCAGGCAAGGTAAAAACAGTTTACCCAAATGAAGTGGCTGACTTATCTATTAATTGCAGACCCTCTGCAACACGTGGCTGAAATTAAAAATCAGTAGTCAAAAGGGCACAAATCAGTAGTCAGTCTAACAGATGAACTAATCTGTAAAAATGCAATTTTATGCAGTTGCTCAGAGATCAATACAGCAAAATCAGTTAAAGTCCAAAGATTAATGATGAGATTCTCAAAAATGTCTAATAAATTCAGAGTAAAAGCTCCAAAGTCACATCAGCATTTCTGGAAATCCCATCTCTAAAACATTTAGGTTTTCTATATGGTTTGTTTTATTTCCAATACTACTACCCAGCCACTTTATACATCAAAGTGCATACTACTAGCATGAGACAATATTCTTATTTTTTTAATATCATTCCTAAAGAGTATTGTGAAAATAAAAAATCCAAACTTAAATCAAATTGGAACCTTATTTATTTCACCTCAAACAGTTGTACTTTATAAGATCCACTACTACTTACTTATTTGAAGTATGATTTTTTTTCACAACAGCTTCTATAACTACCAATGTGAAAACCACCTACAGTTCTGCGCTGAGAAATCTACTGCTCAACCAGCAGTCTGCAAAGAAGTAACCGTTCATGGTAACTCTTTCTTTCTTTCTGACCTTAACTGTCAACATTAACCCACTACTAAGAAACTACAACACAACTCCCAAGGAAAGGGTGTATGTTTCAAATACAAAATTATATTTAATCATTTGTACAGATGTTTGGTCTATAGATAAAAACAGTTTTAGAATAAATACTTACATCTTGCTCATAAATGCTCCAAGGAAAATAAACATTTATCTGAGACATGCCCTGAGCTATCTAGACTCCTTAATAGTGCAAACAATGTTGCAGGGACACCTGGTTTCACCCTGGCTTTTGCAAAAGACACACAGCAACCGCCCACAGACCACCTAACTGGCTGACATACCACAGCATTATGCACACTACAGCAGTTCTTGTAGCTTTGCTAAGTTCCTCTCCATCCACTGGATATTGAGCTGAATAGTGTCAATTGCCTCTTTTACGCAACGCAGTTGAGAACTCTCCTCCGATTTTGACTCAAAAAATGACTTTACCTGCACAGCAAGAGAAAGAGGAGAAAAAAGAAAATTTCAATTTAAATCAACACTGGCCACACAACTAGGTTCAGAAGCAAAGGCTACATGTATGTTGCAGAAAATCCTTTTCTGAGAATCATTTGTATATTTGCAGTAAGTAAACCTCTCAAAGGAGTTTCCAAAATGCAAGGAAAGCATTTTTCATGGGAACTGCAGTAATAATTCATTTGGTTTTAATAAATTATTTCATCAATAAACAGTCATTCATTTATCACATTCATCACAGAGCAATCACAGACCATTCAGAGTTCTGGAAAGGCAATCTTGTTCTGTAATAAAGAACTGATTGTTGCAAGCAACCCTCTTCAGCACTCCGGAATGACCTCCACACTCAGTCATCTTTATAGCTGTCAATGCTAACACTTAAAATACTGTAGATCAAACCATAAACAAGTATCTCTACCAAATTATCTGAATGAAAACATTAGACTAAACCATGAACCACTCTTGACACGTTAACTTCAAGGCCTTGTTTGGGAAGACAATAGAGATTTCTAATGGCTATTAACTTAACCTCTACAATAGCTCTCCGGTATTGCTGACAACAAAAATAACATAAAGCAATTTTTAAGGTGATCCATCACATTCTAGAGATGCTGAAAGCATAGCTTGTTTACAAAATCAAGACCAAAATTCTGTCTAGACCAAGTCACTATATTGGCAGACAGTGTGTTCCAGTGAATACGAAAATAAAACAGTAGTATAAACAGAAAACTGGGTTCAACTCTATGTGTCACTCTGCCACAGACTCAGTATGTAATCTTTAACACATGCGTATATTTCTCATGTGTGAAATGGGGAAAGTAATAGCTGTACATCCTTGCAAAAGGGCTTCAAGGACAGAAATAACATGTGTTTTCCTCATCCCTCAATTAAATGAAAACAGCATTGGCACTGGAAAACAGCCCTTTCTGGTAATTTAGGCCACCAACCTCAAGTAGATGTGCCTTTGTTGCAAACTGAGAAGTTGACCAACTAATGATATTCTGGATGGTATATGAGCCTAGGTGAAACCTGAAATACAAACAAAGAAGTTATTTTTAACCAGAAGCCACTTTAAGCTGCAGGTTCAGTATATGTACTGAATATACTGAATATTTTTATTTCTACTATTTTTGGTTTAGGAGCTGGAAATCATTACAAGCACTTATATTCAGGTTTACATATCTCATTTTTCAAAAAAGATACAAAGTCTTAGAAGTTCCAGCCTCTAGTTCCCTAATCCCTCTAAAAATTGAACTTCCGGGTGAAAGACATGGAAAATTTTCAAACTTTTATCACAGCTCAAATACTAAAGAACTGAGGACATCATACAATGAATAACAAGACCTGTATTTGTAGTTTGTGTTCTAAAACTCTACAGCTCTTGATTTTGTAATCAGATTTCATTTCAAGCAAAGAAATTTTGTAATATTAGTTATTAAAAGCTTGCTAGAGCAAAAATTTTCATCCAGGAGAAGCTTTTTTGGCAATGTGAAAGTGTTCCAAATTAAAATTAGGATTTAGAAATACAGTTTTCCGCGTACTGTCAGTTTTTTGAAGACTTGTAGGGCAGCTCTTCAGTTGGTTACCCATCAAGGCCAGTTAAGGAGAACACGTATTTCTAAAGCAAGTGGGATTTTTGGTTATTTGGTTTCAGGATTGCTGTAAAAGTGTAGAAAGACAGAAAAAATAAATGTTGAATGAATTCCCTCGGTCTGCTTTTGAATGCATTTGATCCACATAAATATCCTGCATCTGCACCAATCATCTTAGGCACAGCATCCTTTTAACAGAAATTCAGATCAAGATTTTTTAGAATTACTATGAGGCTCTAGAAGGCTCCAAAGTCCCATCAACTATTGGTGAGACTTCAAAGTTTCCAATTTTAATACAAATCTTCTTACACGAATCTAATTATTTATTATCTTGCTCTTCAAAGAAACAAATACATGCTTTTGTCACTGTGAGTATGAAGTTTCAGCTACACCAAGAGCCTTACTTTCGTGTAAGCTTTTCCCAGTTCTCTTTGACAAAGTCCCAGGCCAGCAAATATCCAGGCAAAGTCTGGCTAACAGTTGCTATGATATGTGAAAGCTCCTGTGCCCTGATGAGTTCTCCTTCAAGGCTGTTCTGCATCAACCTAAAAGAGAAAGCATATGAAGAGGGACAGGAGAAAACATCTATTCATATCTTCACACGATTCTCCAGATACTCTTGAATTAGGTGGAAAATACAGATCAAACCACAAGCAACTCCTAGCATCTGGAACACAACGATGCTCCATTTTATAACCACTGTGCTTATTTAGCTTTAGTTTTCAAGCATCAGACTGACCTTAGCTACAAACCAGGTACCTGAATTTTCATTGTTGTTAGAAAGTAAATTATAACAACTTCTAAAAGAACACCTAATACATCGAAAAGTTAAGAGAGGAAAGCTGTAACAAGAATCACCTAGCAGGACAACCTTGGTATCCTCCATGAAGTACTTAGATTTTGTCTCTAGAGAGGTTTGGAGCATAGCGTAAGGTCAAAATTTTCACCCAAACAAAGAAAGAAAGAAAAAAAAAGAAAAAACAAAACCCAAACCAAAAAAAGCCCACACAACTTTTTGCCTCCTTCATACCAGATCAGCTTTCTAACATCTTCTGTGCTGGCCAAGGCTTCAATCATTTTGCTTTTCTCTGCTTCAGAAACTGAAGAGCTGTACATCTTTAGGAGGAATTCCCAGCCATCACTAGATTTCGCTCCAGCTGTAAATATGGCTTTCATAACATCACTAGGCAGACTACAGGAAAAAACAAAACCAACAGCAAAACCACAACAAAAAAAAAACAACAAATGAAAAAGGGGACATAAAAATGTTCATCTGAGAAAAGAAGGAAGAAAAGTCACAAAATGAAAAGATTATCTAGAAAGAGATGCCTCTTTTTTGAGCAAACTAATTTTGTAGCAATTGTAAGTTTGCTAGACCAAATTCATGCCAGCCTAATCCTTTAAGTCACTGGGAAAAAGCAAATCATATTAGTCACATGAAAGCACAGAAAATTATACAAAAATCTGAGAGATATTCTATGGCTCAAAATGTACAAGAATCCAGAGCAGAATGAATTCTGCAAGATCATAATCTATGCTTTCACATTGCTACTAAGTACTCCTTGAGCATCCAGTTTAGGAAATGCAGATCAAAGGAATTCATGGCTGGTTTTGCAGTCACACTTAATGAGAGTGCAGAGGAAGTCTTAAATTCCAGGACAGCACTGCTTTTAATCGTAAAACAGCAATTACTTCTGCATGAGGAACAGTAAAAGACAGAATGAATTCCTTTATAAATATTCAGTTGTTGTTGGAAATCAGATTCATCTAGGGCCCAACTTAAATGGCTTTATGCCAATGCACGCAGCATGGGGAATAAGCAAGAGGAGTTACAAGTGTGTGTGCGTGGCTGTTGGGATATGATCTTATCGGCGTCACGGAGACGTGGTGGGATGAATCCTATGACTGGAGTGTCAGAATAGAAGGGTACAGGCTCTTTAGGAAGGACAGGCAGGGGAGAAGAGGAGGAGGGGTTGCCCTCTATGTCAAAGACCAGCTGGAGTGCATGGAGCTGCACCTGGGAACGGATGAAGAGCCGACTGAGAGCTTATGGGTTAGGATTAAAGGGAGGGCAGGGACAGAGTAGTGGGAGACTGCTACAGACCACCTGACCAGGAGGACTGAGTGGATGAGGCCTTCTACAGACAGATAGGAGCTGCCTCATGTTCATGACGCTGGTCTTCACAGGGGACTTCAGCCACCCCAACATCAGTTGGAGGGACAACACAGCAGAGAATAGGGAATCAAGGAGGTTCCTGGAATGGATTGATGGTAACTTCCTTCTCCAAGTGATAGAGGAACCAATGAGGTGAGGTGCTTTGCTGGACCTTGTTCTAATCAACAAAGAAGGGCTGGTGGGGAACATGACGCTCAAGTGTAGCCTTGGCTGCAGTGATCATGAAATGGTGGAATTCAAGATTCTTAGGAAAGCAAGGAGGGTGCACAGCAAGCTCACTACTCTGGATTTCAGGAGAGCAGGCTTTGGCCTCTTCAGGGATCTCCTTGGTAGAGTACAATGAGACGAAGCCTGGACCAAGAGAGCTGGATAATATTCAAGGATCGCCTCCTCCAAGCTCAAGAGCGGTGAATCCCAACAAAGAGAAAATCAGGCAGGAACACCTACAGGCAGGAGGCCTGCATGGATGAACAAGGAGCTCTTGGACCAACGAGGACACAAAAAGGAAGCCTACAGAGGATGGAAGCAAGGACAGGTAGTCTGGGAAGAATAAAGAGAAATTGTCTGAGCAACCAGAGATCAGGTTAGCAAAGCTAAAGCCCTGAATAGAGCTAAAACTGGCCAGGGACATTAAGGGCAACAAGAAAAACTTCTATAGATATGTCAGTGATAAAAAGAGATCTAGGGAAAACATAGGCCCTCTCCAGAAGGAAACGGGGGACCTGGCTAACCAGGATATGGAGAAGGCTGAGGTACTCACTGACTTCTTTGCCTCAGTCTTCACTGGCAAGAGCTCCAGCTGCACAGTCCAAGTCACAGAAGGCAAAGGCAGGGACTGGGAGAATGAAGAACCACCCACTGTAGGAGAACATCAGATTCGAGACCATCTAAAGAACCTGAAGGTGCACAAATCCATGGGACCTGATGAGGTGCATCCGTGGGTCCTGAGAGAACTGACAGATGAAGTTGCTAAACCATTATCCATCATATTTGAGAAGTCATGGCAGTCTGGTGAAGTTCCCACTGACTGGTAAAGGGAAAATATAGCCCGCATAAGGAAAAAAGGAAGACCCAGGGAACTACAGGCCAGTCAGTCTCACCTCCACGCCCACCAAGATCATGGGGCAGATCCTCCTGGCGACTATGCTAAGGCACATAGAAAACAAGGAGGTGATTGGTGACAGCCAACATGGCTTCACTAAGGGCAAATTCTGCCTGACTAATTTGGTGGCCTTCTATGATGAGGTTACAGCATTGATGGATAAGGGAAGAGCAACTGACATCGTCTATCTGGACTTGTCCAAAGCATTTGATACTTTCCCACACGATATCCTTGTCTCTAAACTGGAGAGACATGGATTTGAGGGATGGACCACTCAATGGATAAGGAATTGGCTGGATGGTTGCACTCAAAGAGTTGCAGTCAAGACCTCGATGTCCAAGTGAGGGCCAGTGACAAGTGGTGTTCCTCAGGGGTCAGTACTGGGGCTGGTGCTGTTTAACTTTTTTGTCAGCAACATGGACAGTGGGATCGAGTGCACCCTCAGCAAGTTTGCTGATGAACAGCAAGCTGTGTGTTTTTGTGAACAAGCTGGAGGGAAGGGATGCCATATAGAGGGACCTTGACAGGCTGGAGAGATGGGCCTGTGAGAACCTACTGAACTTCAACAAGACCAAGTGCAAGGTCCTGCACGTGGGTCGGGGCAATCCCAAGCACAAGTACAGGCTGGGTGGAGAATGGATTGAGAGCATGTGATAGTTTGATGTGTGGGGGGGTG